CACAAACAATTATTTATCTGCCACCATATCTTTCCAAGTTATTACATCAGGTGGCAGAATTTTCACATCATTTGCCGATAAGAAGACGATCTCCAATCGTTGTCACGAAGAATCCGGCCTTGTTAATTTCGGCGATGACCGAGTAGTAGGAGTAATGACTAAATTCCAAAAAGTGTCATAAGCAAAGACGTTTTGAAATTTCTTATCCAACACACCTTGTTGACAACCAGGTACCAATTTTCTACAACAACTGCTTTACATTCGGACAGCCACCGTCATCACCTCTTCAACTTTAGATGTTCAGCCGTAAGCACTGCACTTCCTACCTACCAAAAAGAAAATCACTCGAAATTCTTCCAGCAGTCTGTGCCTTTTGGCAAAATTAAGATTAAATGCCCAAGAGACAAGGGCCAGGCTGGTTTGAAATTAAGAAATTACAAAATCCAGACGCCCATCAAAATTGCTACCACATTATTCCAAAGAAAGCACTGCCTTTTGACGTTGCCCCAAAATGCATCCACTCCGGCTAACCACTTCTAAGTAGAAGGCAACGCCTGTTGTCACTTACACAAAATTGCGCAAGCAAGGAGCTAGCGGCTAGGTATGCTGGTTGTGCTCAAAGTCATTCAATCCTCAAACTATAATTCCAGTCAAAAGACCAAGAATGCAAATTGAGAGTTCAGCCTGTTGCTCTGTTGCCGAGATTACAAACAGAGGACAAGGAGAAGGAGGTGATAGGTGTGTCAGATCTAGTCACTCAATGGCAAAGCCTCCCAGCCGTCGCAAGGCACTTTTCGAGTCTCTACTCGGTGTGAAGGGCGGGGCACTAGGGAGGGCCCAGTCCTACCCTTACTACTCCACGTGCTGTTGGTATACAAGACGTGCGATGAGTCGCCACAGCCAACTGATGTTAAAAACCACGTTACACTTATTAGGCAGGCGGTTTGGGTGGGGACAGGTAGATTTCAGACGCAAGCATTTTCGAAATAAGAATGAGTCGCAGGAGTTTGACCGCGTACCTAGTCTAATCCATGATTTATACTTGGCACGAAAACCAGCAGTTGTCGTACCTCAGAGAATACATAATCCGAGGCACCATCGAGGGGCACGACTGACTGATGGCCTTGCACTTCTGACGCAGACCTGACAGTCTAGTCTGCCTACGCACTGCGTGAACACATTGTGCATCTGTGTGGATAAAGACAGAGGCCGAGGCTAATAATAAGAAATTAACATCATCTCCCACGACGGCAGTCTGTGTAGCACGCTCGCAGATCAATCGGGTGTACAACCAGACGCCTTTTATGGAGTTGCACAGTTAACCTCATTAATTAAAATGCTACAACGATCGCCGTCACGTGAAGAAGAGGTAGAATGACTACAAGGTCAAGTAGGCTAATTAGCTGAAAAGTCATAAACTACCATCCATCGTTGAGGGCCTGATGATGCGAAGGTCGATTCTGTGGAAAATCCGAATGAGGTTCAATACCTAAAAAACTATCACGATTCGCAAGTGCTATGACATCAATAACTCCTGCGACGCACAGACACGTGACCAAAAAAGTAAGTGGGAACGGAAGTCTGAACACTAACGCTAATCCTCAAAGAACTGAATCTACAAAATAAATCCA